TATATTACTGTTTTTTTCAAGTTAAAAATATAAAAACATCAGTTAATACGAGTTCTCTCAATACTATTGTTAGTTTAGTTGAAATTTTCGCTGGATTATAGTTACCAGCATCATCAGCTATAATATCGTAATTAAAAATTAAAATTATGACCGTTATAATAAATTACAAAAATTAAACTTTGACATCAGCATTAAAACGGTTACTTTGACGCAAGAATGCAAAAAATGGAGTCCAAAATTTAGTTTTAACGTATTGTCCGTTATCTAAGTTTATTCCACTATAAAGTGGAGAGCATTGATGTTTTTGAATCTCTAATGCTTTACGAACTTTCCTATCAAATTTATTATATTTTTCTTTAAGTGTTTTTACTTTATCCTAAATAATTTCTTCTCAACAGCCTTTTTTATGAAAAGCTAGAGTCGACTGATAATACTTATCTTCCATCAAATATTTTTGATGTTGTTGAGATCTTGTTCTAATTTGTAAATTTGTTTCACCAACATACACTTTGGAGCAATATCAGTCAATTAAATATATTCCATGTTTACAGTTGTCCGATAGCCTCGATTTGATTTTTGATGTTAGCAGAGTCCTTAAATTATGATTAGATTTAAAAACAGTGCGGTAACCAGTTTTCCGAAATATTTTTCTAAGTTTGGGGATAATAATGGTATTTAGGGTAAAGAGATTGTAGAAAGTGCATTTGGATATGTTGGTATTTGAATTTTTTTTACATTAGGGATTTCATATGGATCATGATTTGAATGAGGGTTAGTCTGAATATTGGTTATAGCATCTTTCCCATAAACTTTAAAATCGTATTTACCATTAGCATTGTTAATTATGGTGACATCAAGAAAATTTAGTGTATTTAATACATTTTCAGTTTCTATTGGGTTAAAATTTCTCAAAAAACAAAGGGTTGCACCCTGCATCACCAAATTTGCTGAAATTTGGCTCAAATGTTTAAAGATACATGTTAGACTATGAAATTTTTTCAAAAAATTCTCAACCCTTTAAGATTTACAGCAACTTGAAGTTAGTTATTTTTTGACTAAAAAAAGAGGGAGGATGAAGCCGGAAATACGTCAATTTACCATTACCATAATAACAAACCTGTACTGATGTTGCGAAGTTACCTAAAACTTGGTACCAAAGGAGTTTAAAACCTGCTTAATCTAAAAATCTAGAAAAAATCTAACTGATGAAAAAAAGTTTTGGTTTTCGTTATTTTAAATATTAAACATATATCTACTTTGCGAACCAATTTTTATTTGGCCTTATGTTTTATCAAGGAGTTATTGATTTTTAGTTTTTCAATTTTTCTAAAGATATTTTCAAAAAAAAAATTTTCCAAATATATTTTGAATACAAATACAATTATTTTTGTTTTGTATTAGCTTTCTAAAAAATTTACAAAGTTATTACAAAACATAGTTGAACATTTTATAAATTTGTTTCTTTTTACTTTCATTACATAATAATAATGTCATTTTCATTACATTATCATGTCATTAAATTTAACAATAATATGTAACTTTTGTTGTTGATTGTTTTGTTGTAATAAAACATTTATTATCATCAATAACAAAAGTAATAAAATGATATAATAATGTCTAATTAACATTGCCATGTTAAGTTACATAACTAAATAAAGTTATATTTAGTTATCTTTTACTTTTACACAACTTTTTGTAAGTAGTTAATGGAGAATTTACAATAATTAGTAGACAGGCATTTAAAATATGTCTATAAAACTAAAAGCTACTTGTTCGAGCAATATGTTCTTTATAGATACATATTGATATGATATTGTTTGTATTCAAGTGTACTTTTCTTGTTAGGGACATTGAGATTATTTAAGATTTCTTGTATTAAGTGTTTAGACAGAGATTCCTCATTATGTTTTTACATGGATAACAAAATTAATTGCTGCTTTGTAAATAATTATAGAGCTTGTTATAAACAATCATATACTCAAGAAAGAAATCTGATTGAAGATATTGACAGCAATGATCGTACTTGAAAAACAAACATATCTGAAACAAGAACAAATTACTAACATATGCACACACCATCATGATATGTTAGTCGTAAGATATGAGGGTAATCAGAAAAGTTGCTGTAATCCATTTCTGAGTCACCAAAAAGTAAGTAGAGGTAAAAATTTATATATTTATATTTCATTAGGTAATATCATTATTAATAAGTCATATAAGTTTTTTTGGTAATAAGATTTGTTCAATGTTTCATAGTTATTAATAAAACAAATTGTATAGTAATATAATTACATAATATATATTTATTTTTAAGCATCTCTACAAGTGATTACAATGCATACTGTGTTAGAAGCAGAAACCATAGAATAAAATCTTATACTTGGAAAAAAACTGTGTCCAACCTGTCAAAGTAAAGTTATGACATGTTTATCAAAAACAAAATGTGAAAATAAAAATGATGAAGGTTTTGATATTGTTAATGAAAGATCCATTCAAAATAAAAAAGAAAGTGTAGATACACACTTTGCATCAGCCGGAGTATCTCCAATTAAGGTCAAAGGGTTGCACAAGTCAGGTAAAATCAGAGAAGATAAATGAAAATTAACAGCATTAACAACCTTCATTAAAAAAAAGGTAACCATTTTCCTTCATATATCAGAAGAAAGTTTTGAAGAACAGTCAAGTTTTAATAATGAGTATATGGAAAAAGCAAACTTGTTTGATAACATGATGGTATTGTTAACTAACAAAATTCCAGATCTACATACACATCAAAAAAAGTACAACTTGCGACACTTGCTCCAACAGACTGGTCAATAAAAAAGGTATCTGAAACATTGCATGTAACAAACTATGTAGGTTGAACTGTACGTAAGTTGACATTAGAAAAAGGTATTTTAACCATGCCTAATTCTAAATTAGGAAAAGCTTTTCCTGATGTAACAGTTCAACTGGTCAAGACCTTTTACGAAGACAATGAACATAGCCGTATAATGCCTGGTAAAAAGGACTATGTAAGCATAAAGAAAAATGTCCACATGCAAAAACGTTTGCTCTTATGTTATTTAAAGGAATTGTTTGTTGCCTTTAAAACCAAGAACCCAGAAATAAAAATAGGATTTTCAAGGTTTTGCACCTTGCGACCTAAATGGTGTATTACTGTTGTTGCCTCAGGAACACATTCTGTATGCGTCTGTGCTATTCATCAAAATTTGAAACCGCTTTTACATTCTCTTGGCACACAAAGAATTGTTACCTTATATTGACTGTGATATAACTAATAAATACTGTATGATGAGGAAATGTGAAAAATGCCCAGCAACTATGAATGCATTGGTTGAAAAACGTTATGATATACTTGGAGAATTTGAAGATGACGATGAGATTAAATTTGATCAATGGACAACAACAGATAGGTCAAACTTGACACATAATAAAGAGCCAGTGTTTGAATACATTGAACTAGTATGTAGAAAACTGGAAAAATTTCCACCACATTCGTATTTAGCAAAGAGTCAAGCATTATACCTGAGGTCAAGAAAGGAAGATATGAATGAAGTAACCGCATTATTTCTGAGTGATTTTTCAGAAAACTCTAAATTGGTAGTTTAGGATGAAGTGCAAAGCTTTTATTGGACAAATTTAAAATGTACACTTCATCCAGTGATTATTTATTTCAAAAAAGAAGGCATTCTCAAGCACAAATTCTATTGTATTATTTCGGATGATATGATCCATGATGTGAATATGGTTTATAAAATTATTGAGGTTGTTTGCAATGATATAAAAACAAATTTGCCTTAAATAAAAAATATTGAATACTTTTTAGATGGGTGTGCAGGTCAATATAAGAATTGCAAAAATATGTTGAATCTTTGTTTCCATTGTGAAGATTTTGGTTTTACTGCTAAATGGAACTTTTTTGCAATTAGTCACGGTAAGCAACATTGTGATGGGATAGGTGGTAAATCAAACGTCTGGCAACACTAGCAAGTTTGCAAAGAGATATGGGTAATCATACTTTATCTCCACAAACAATGTATAAAAATTGCAATGAAAACATTGAAGGCATAAATTTCATATATATTTCATCAGAAGATTTAACTTTGGTGAGAACCGCTCTTAAAGAACGATTGGATACTGCTAATACAATACCTGGAACACGTAGTTACCATCAGTTTGTACCACTTAGCCATCAAAAAGTAAATTTTTTTTTTTTTAATAATACCTTTTACCATATTTTAAAATACACACATAACTTTTATTGATAAACTCAAATAGGTATTAGATTTTTGCAGAATCATTATCAAAAACATTTGTATTTTATTTTACTGCCTCTGCATTTGCTATTTATGCATTTAATAAAACATGTTTGATAAGTAAAACGGAATAATTGCATATGTTACTATTTTGTTTAGGTAGGCACTAAGCTATGCAGTCTTGATGAAGAACTTGTGTTAATTCATGACTTTGGAAATATCTAGATAACAACTGTAAACCTAATACCAGATGATTATGCCTGTGTTTCCTATGAGCAAAAGTAATGGATAGGAGTCATTGAAGATATTAATTTAGAAGATAAAGATGTGCTTATAAAATTTATGTGTCCTAATGGTCCTGCACGGTCGTTTAAATGGCCACCAAAGGAAAACCAATGCTGGATTCCTGATGTCCACATTATTTGCAAAGTTGAGGTACCGATAACAAAAACAGGACTTTGCTACTATTTAGCCAAAGAGGACTTAAAAAAAGTTATTTTCCTAAGGAAGTAGAGATTTTAATAATTATGAGTCTATTATGTCTTATCCATTCTTTTTTTAAATATTATGTTTTGTAAACCAACTTGTAAATAATGTGAATGTGAAACATTTATAAAATCACTAAAGTTTAGTATTTTTTTAAAAAAGTTTATATGCTTTTAAATTTTGTTTTAAATATCATATGAAAATGAAAAAGATAATAAAGTCACTAAATTTTTAGTTTCTAATTTGATTGATTGGTAAAAGGTGGGGTTATATTAAGTGTCTAATCTAAAAAATATTAAAAAATTTTGTGTCTATATCAAACATCAATAATTCCTCAAGTAAATATAAGGCCAAAACAAAATTGGTTCAAAAAGTAGGTGTTGATCTTATTTTTAAGAAAGTCGAAATTAATTTTTTTTATATCAGTCAGATTTTTTTATAACTATAATTGTCAATGCCCTTTTTCTCGGCGTTATAAAGTGTATTTTATGTATCCTAAAATAAGCTACATTCCCTTGTTTTGACATATAAAAAACTATATTTTGCAGATTTAACAGCTTTTAAACTCTTTTGGTACAAGGTTTCAGAATTGTGGCATCACTACAAGCACCATATTAAGGTGAAAGTAAACGGAATGATTTTTGGCACTTTTCCTTCCTCAGTTTTTAGTCAAAATCAAGGAAACTTCAAATTGCTGTAAATTATAAACGGTAAGGAATTTTATGAAAAAAAATTACAATCTTTCCTAACAAATGGCTATACACATTTGTGCCAATTTTCAAAAATTTTGGATATATATGGTGCAGATTTGTGTTTTTTTGTGTTTTTTGAGAAATTTTTACCCTATTGTATATTTTAATGATGGATGTTTTTTGTTAAATATATTTTGGAATTGTTTTGCTTGTTGTAAATAAGGAAACCTAGGATGAATGTCGTCTACATATCGAAAAAAAGATTTAATATCAATAAAAGGATTTATAATCTTTACTATTTTTAATGCCTTTTCCTCGTTGTGCTGTAGAAACGACTCAGCTAAAACAACTATAAAAGATAATCTAATAAGGCCTGAGTTCTCTAATCCGTATATCTCGTTGTTCCACATAAAGTAATAACGAAATAAGTAAAGTTCTATTAGTTGTTTGGTTTCTTATTTATCAAGTTTGGTTGAGTTTTTATAGGAAATGTTTTTATTCAATTGATCTAAATGAATAACTGTTGGTTCTTTTAATGGATATAAATTTACAATATCAAAAGATACTTGTAACTCGTCCTTATTGATAATCCAAGCCTTAGTTTTGTCGATGAAATCATTGGAATTTTTCAACCTTATTGGGTTTTTATTTAAAACTGGTTGTGTTTTTTAACCAAGTACTTTAAAATTTCTTGGATAAGAGGTGCTAGGTGTGCTGATTATTGGTTCTACAACTGATACAAAGACCAACATGCAAATCTTTAAAAAAAGCCTTTGGTGTGTCAAAAGCAAAAGCCTTTCATCACTGCAGTGTCTATTGCTTTGTGAAATTTTTTGCTATTACGGTTAGTAATTTAGCAGAAGAGAATTAGAAAATTAAAAATAAGAGAATTAAAATTTGTATTGACTACTGAGAGTGTCAAGAGATCTTGCTTATAACAGTAAAAAATACTGGGCAAGAGTTAAAGGGATTTGAAAATTTGAACCACAATTGACATTTTTCATCAGGTAAGATTCAATTAAAAAATTATAAATTGTTTTGCGAGAATTTAAAAAAGTTTTGGAAAATGTTTTATTTTCAGAAAAAACTTTAAGACCAATATAGCTAGAGATAAGTATCTTTTTTTTGTTGTTGTTAATGTTAATTTCGTAAGCGGTGGTGGGCATAATAATGTTAATTTCGTAAGCGGTGGTGGGCATAATAATGTTAATTTCGTAAGCGGTGGTGGGCATAATAATGTTAATTTCGTAAGCGGTGGTGGGCATAATAAAAATAGCATCAAGTGCCCAAAAAATAACTGTTTTACCCAAACCACTAGTTTGAGGCTCCACTTGGTGTTAAGATAAAAAGATACGAACATATTCTTACTAATAACTTTGTACAAAACATAAAGTTAAGGACACGTTCTTACTATTAACTTAGTAACAACTTTTCTTGTACATTAGTAACTTAAAATTTACTTTTATCATTCAACCAACTTGATAATAAAATTCAGTTTAATTTTTACGCAACTTCTAATAAATTGCAACTACCATTGCAAGTTTTACAGTTACTATTAAATATAAAAATAAAAGATTTCAAATTTTAGAATTGTCTAAGATGCATAACTTGTATTACAAGAAATAATTGGGAAAAATATTTTTTGAATGATTTTTTTTAATGAGTTAAGTAAGCTTTTATGGCTAGAAAAAAATTTACTTCAGATCAAAGAATTTTTGATCTGAAGTAAAGCTCGTAACTACCTTAATAAAAATGGCTTAAGCTAGCTTCAAAACTCTTTATTTCACAGTTACATAAATTATTCTAACATTGCATAAAGTGTTAGTACTCCCACGTTGTAAAAACTTCTTTATCGTCGTCAAAAACATGCGATCCGCATAATTAACTGTGCTGATTGTTTTCCACTTGCAAAACCTATTTTTACTGAAATTAGATTATTAAATTTATTTGAAATCAATGTAATTAAATTTTTATGTTTTTTATATTTATTGAAAAATAATTTATCCCTTACCGCTTTTAATCAAACTTTCAAACTCAAACCTAACAACAAATATTATATGAGAAACATAAATTTTTTAAATGAGCCGTTTTGTCACACAAAATTTAATCAATTTTGGATTCTTATCGTGGACCTCCATAGAACAATATTATACCAATGGTATAATATTGTTCTGTGGAATTTTGATCCACCAACTTCCTTTTACTTTTTCAAGCTCAATCTAAAAAAATGTATTCTTTCACTTGATAATATACTCAGATACTTCTAGTATTTTGAAAGTTGTTATTCAACTTGGATTTTTTATTTTTTTCTATTTTAATTTTTACTTTATTTTTTAGTTTGTTATACTTGTCTTTATTTTGCTTGCTTGTATTTTATAAGGTTCTGACGACAAGATCTTGTGATCTTTGTTCAAATCTGAGCTTGCGTTTGTTGTTAGCAGTTTATGTATGTGCGCATCTATACATTAAGTGCTATACGTGTATATATGCTTATATTTGCGCATGCGTATATAAGCTTGTATTGTTTGCATCTATACATTAATGCTGTAAGTGTATATATGCTTATATTTATATATGTTAGTGTTTTTCTTTTTTTCTGTTTAATTTGTAATTACTATCGCTTTGAAATAATGCTTTAAAACTGTCATAGTAGGTTTCAAAAAAAGTTACTAAATAAAAACAAACTAAAAACTTAAAGTTATCTAAACTATTGATTTTAATCTTAAAATCTTTTATAAGAATCTTGTTCAATACCAAGTTCTTAGTATATGATGTCAAAATGTTGAAAAACTAATACATCGCAAAACATGGGTGCCAGCAGTACCATATATTTTTTGAAGTTTCAAATATGTCACTTTCAGACAAAGTACAATAGGGTGTCTCAAAAAAGTATCATATATTGAATTTTAATGTGCGGAATACTGCATTCTGCGTCATTTTGAAAATGTAGACGAACAAAAAAAAATTAAGTAAATAAAAATTAATAATAATACAAATATAAACCTATATTTTTAACTACAAAATATTTCTCAACTAAATAATAGTAGTAAGATCTTTCTTTGTAGCCTTTTTCGATACCTGCTGCCGGTTTCTCTGGACAACCTAAAAGTATAAATATATTAAGTAAATATTATATATTAACTATTCATATTTTACTTGCAAATAATTGCTAAAATTTTTATTTTATATATAATTTTATATATAATTTTATATATAATTTTATATATAATTTTATATATAATTTTATATATAATTTATATATTAACTATTCATATTTTACTTGCTAATACTTGCTAAAATTATATTGCGTGTATATAATAAAATACCTGGAGAGTATCCTGAAGCCTATCTTCATTGTGTGTTCTCTCAACAAAATTTTGAATCAACTTGATGTGACGTTCTGCACGGTCATTTACAACTGCAAGCGTTCTTACGCACTTTGAGAAGTATGTAAAAGACTGAGGGGTTTTCTCACTTTCACATGCTTCGATGCCTTTTTCTTTGTAGAGGAGAAGTTCTTTTTTGGAAATATCCAACAGCAAAAACAAAAGGACTGTTCATTGATAAAATCATCTAGTTTAGACGTAGGAACAATTTCAATAATAGATTCAGGTTTCTTTTTAATCAGATCTTGCAACACCGGGACATCATAGGAAAGCAGCTTATTTAACATATTGTTCTTAACTTCAATATTCAGTTCTTTATCAGCAAGAGCAAAAACTACTTGTTGGGGGGACAGGTACCAAGTGTGACGGCTAAGGCTTTGGTAAAGAACCTTTCCCACAACTGCAAATTCTTTAAACTCATCCACTGTTTGCAGCTAAAAAACAATATTGAATGCCATCAAATCATTCGACGGTGCTTGAGAAGCCATTGCGCATTTCAGAAAAAAGAAGCCGTGAAAAAATACAATGTAGTTGGTTGCAGCCTTCAGATTACTTAACGTGCTTATATTACCAGATTCAGAATCAACTGGGTAGTACATTTGAGTCATTTGAATCACCAGCAAGTAGATACAGTCTGCCATAAATCTTGCTTCATGATGAGCTCCTGGTTGTTTAAATGAGAAGTTTGGTAACTCAGCTCCTAGAAAAAACGCCAGAAGCTCACAAAGATACCTGTAATCTCCTCTCTGGAAAGTACTCTCACGGAGCGCTGTGGTACAGAGTTCTTTTGTATCCGAAGCAAGTTTGTACAACAAAGAGTTAGGTCTAAAGGCATCTTGAGTCCAGCCAAATTTTACAATTCTCTCTAATTTGTTTACATCTCTATAAATCTGCGGCCATATTTTTTGGAGAGTAATATATAGCTTCCTGTTGGGACCATTGGTTGGACCAAATATTTCCTTCATTAAATGAGCCACATGTCTTTCATAGATTTGATGTCTACACATTAGCCAAAGAACCGGTCTAACTAGGACGTATGAAACAATAATGCTTATAGCACCCTTTTTTCTTCCAGTGTTACAGGATGTTGTGTCCGAACACAATCCAATAATCTGGTCAGACATCTCATAATATTCAAGCATAGCTTGAATGGCAGTAGCTTGATCACTTCTCTTATAACTTTCGATTTTTAAGATGCCCAGAAGAAAGTCTAGCGGACCAGACTCGGGTGAAGATGCGCTTATGGCGATTCTATCCTCGCTTTTACATACTCCTTCTTCCCAATTGTATCTTTTCAATGTTTTTGTGTCAAAGTGTACCACAATTTTCAAACCCTTTACTTTATCTAAATTTTTGTCCCTGATCATCGGTGCCTCAGACTCCAAAATAGTATGGGTCTTCCTGTTTAGAGTTGATCTTGATATAGAGATATTATCAATATCAGCACCATCAGCTTTGTAAAGAGAATTCAAAAGACACATACCTGGTCTGACTCCAATTCTAAATCTGCTCATAATTGGAATCCAGTTGTGAAGAATGTCCTTAAAACTTAATTGAAGGCAAACTTTCAAATCATTCTGAAATCTTTTTTGATTTTTCTGGACTTTAGCAGGAGGTAAATTAATTTCATCGTATTCACTTTGATTCTCACTATCTGTGCCTAAAAAGTATACTTCCAAATGCTTTCTTTTTTTTTATTTTTTTCCGCATGCTTTTGGATTTTTTCTGACATTTTTAGAAGTTTTTCCTGTGCTCTGTGAACATTTTCACTAAATATTTTATCAACGTTGCCAAATTTAACCATATCCCTTCTCAGACAATGCCTCAAAAAATTTATGTCTTCACTCTTAGCCTCGTCATCCCTATTTTTATCAATTTTAATTAAATCATAATTGATTCATAAAATCATATTTGATTTTTGAATAGAAAAAAGAGCACTACTCTCTATCAAAAATTTGTCAACCTTCTTGTTATAGCTGCCCTCGGGCAAATCTAGTGTTTTAAGCATTTTTAAAGTGTAATAACTCTTTAACTTTCTTGGTAATTCTGATCTTTATAGCTTGCTCGGTCAAAAGAAAGTATTGCTAAACCGAGCTTGTTCCCACAAAGTGACAAGCTCCCTCAGAATACAGATGTTTGTATTTAACTGCTTGGTTTTCCTTCCGCACCCTCCGTCAGCAAACCTGGAGCATCTCAAATAAGTCTTGACAGAAGCAACTGGGCAGCCAATTTTGACGTTGATCTGTGTGGTACTAAAACATTTTAAAAAATAGTTAGTTAGTTCTAATAATGATTATTATCAATGAAAAAAAAAGACTAAATTTTAAAATCAAGTTTTGGTAAGTAAAGAGTTTTAGGAAGTAAAGAGTTTTGTTTTTGTTGAAAACAACTTTTAAAAGTGATTTAATAATAATTTAGCTCGAATTATTAGATACGCACCATTAATTTCTATTGTTCGCCATTCTTTTGTCGAAACGTGTTTGTTTGAAGAAGAATAAAATTAATTTTATCTCAAAATTTATATATATAAAAAAAAGGAAATTGACATAAATAACCTTCCGCTAGAGCTAGAGACTTCATTTTTTTTTGTTCGTCTTCATTTTCAAAATGACACAGAATGCAGTATTCCGCACATCAAAATTCAATATACAATACTTTTTTGAGACACCCTATAGTACAAACTCCAAACTTATGTTTGTTTATGCCTGTTTCAAATGAAGATGCTTTGCAAAAAATATTTGCGATGGAAGCCTGGGAAAAAAAACAACCCTAAAACGTTTGCCTCTCCCTTTATAAACATGAGTGCCGTGACTTATAACATTTTCAACTTTATTATCTTATACTAAATTTAAATTCATAGGCAGGTTTTAAATTTTATTAAATAATTTTTTTTTGCAAGGCACCCTCATTTAACTAAAGCAAGCACAAACTTAAGTTTGGAGTTATTGTTGATAAGTATTGAAAAGTATAATTCACATCATGTTGATGCAATTTAGATTTAATGCCTGAGCAAAATTTATTTCTGGGAAAGCGGTTGCATTAACTTTTTACCAAGACGTTAATGCAGCATGTCATGATCAATAATATTTGTTTAAAAAAGAAACAAAGCGACTATGACACGAAGTATGCAACATACCCAAGACAACGTTTACAACATTCTGCCCAATAAATATCTTGTTAGGCAAAATATAATCTTAAAAAATATTGAAAGAATTAATAAGGAAGGTGGGACTTTCACATGGCTTGGTCCACTTAAAGTATTTATACACGGTTAGGTAAACTTTTTTTATTTTTGGCAATTTTGTGTTTGAAATGCTGCTGTGAAGCACATAATATCAAAAACTTCTTTATGTCTTTTATCAAGATAAGATGCAACGTATATGCAACGTATATGATCTACAAGTGCAAAGATCTTTGATACTTCAAGTTTTATAGGAAATAAAATATACTTTTTACAAATAATTTTAACTAGCGACAATTTATTACAATTACTTTTTGTATGTATCAAGAATGCGGAGTCCCAAAAGAATTCAAGCCTTATATCTATATTTGTCACTGGTCTCTGGTGTCCAGAATCTCCAAATATTTTGGATTATTTGAAATTTTCTTCAAGAAAAAAATTCACAAAATTTAATAACTTGGAACTTATTGCTGTTAAGCCAGAAATCCCGGAGTCTTTGCCAAAATTATAGTTCCAAACTCTGGGTTCTAAAACTGATTTTTCCTTTAACCTAAAAGTTTTAATTTTTTAACCAATAGTAGTTTATAAGCTTTTTTATATTTTTAGAGTTCCTGAAAAACTAGGAAGAAGTAATTTTTTTATAACTTTCAAATCCGGAGTCCTTTTTGAGACTCCACATTCCTGCATACTATGTATTAATGGTATTGTCATAATATGTTTATTACTCAGTCGCTTCATCTGATTTGAAAATTGGTATGCACTCTCTATGTTTTTGTTTATTACATTACTCATTTATATTTCTTTAGGTATTACCTGAATTTGTGTACTGTTTATAAGTTTTATATGTTTATACTACTTTATTTTATTATACTAGTTTATTATACTAGTTTGTTACTACTTTTTATGTGTGTTTTATTGATATAAGTATACAGCAAAAAATCAACATTAAAATTTAAAGATGATTGTCAGGTTGTTAGAAATTATTCGAAATATTCGTTTGGGCAAAAAAAAAGAAAGTTAAAAAACAATGTTGATAATGTTGATTCATAAAGTAAATGCAATATAATTTTAGATGACATCTTTATATTTATAAGTTAATTTAAAAAAACATTCCTTTGTTTATGAGTTAGTTTTAGTATATATCCTTTTGTTATTTGGTTAGTAAAAGTAGACATCCCTTTGTTTATTGGTTAGTTTTAGTATATATTTCTTTGTTATTTGGCTAGTATAAGCAGGCATCCATATGTTTGTTAATTTAATGGACTTTTATATTGTTTAGTTAAAAAAGTTATGTAAACCGTTAGAGTAGTTTTTTTTTTTTCTATATATACATTACTGTATTTTAAAAATAAATATGATATATATATATATATATATATATATATATATATATATATATATATATATATATATATATATATATATATATATATATATATATATATATTATATATATATATATATATATATATATATATATATATATATATATATATATATATATATATATATATATATATATATATATATATATATATATATATATATATATATATATACAATTAGATTTATAAACAACTCTAAATGTATAATTTTTATTAAATAATTAGGATAAAAAAGTTATCAAAATCTAGTTTTTTTATAACTAATAAAATTGCAACGTTTAACACTCACTAAGCTTATTGCAAACTTACTAACTTAAGAGTAAAGAGAATAATAGTTACCAAAAACATATTTCGTGTGCCCACGGTCAAAAATCCCAAGAATACATTTAACAGCAGCTAAATGATACAATAGTGAACTATAATTTACTACAGAAGCTTTTTTAATAAATATGCATTCTAATAATAGAAAAGAAGCTACGACAAACTGCTATTTTACCAGCAAGCCGCACCAAATTCCAGCAGATGCATCAACAACTGCAGCTTCATATGTGGCTAGATTTATAAACCCAGCAATAATTGTTGGTATAGCTGAAAATGCGGCGAAAACAGCCAAAATACATATGGCAGCTGATAAGTTTTTATGCACAAACGTTTTTTCAAGCATTTTAAAAAACTTAAAAAAGATGTATTTTTTAACGTATATCCATTAAAAGTCTGAAAAAATAAAAATAAAAATATCTATAAATATTTTTATCAATAAAAATGCTTTGTTTTAATAATTCTAGTTTCGTAAAAAACACTCAGCTTAAACTTCTTCGCAGATAATATACAACTTAAACAATTGGTATATTGTGTTGATAAAATACTTAGGTGAAGAGACAAACGATTGTCTTTAATATCACTCCTTTGTATTTTTAATCTTTGTTTTATGAACATTTACCGATAAAATAAAAAACATTAGTCATCTTTGAGAATTTAAAAGTTACATCTTAATTAAATGACGTATTTAATAAAGTTTTTTCCTACCTGAAGAAAGCCATAACAACAATGCTTATTTTTTAAATAATAAACAATTATATGATTATGGACTCAATAATGCTTTAATGATAATTAGTAATTATAAATAAATAATATAAAAGTAAAAGAGACTAGCAAACAAACATTTGAAGTAAAAATAGTTACTTAAAGATGTAAGTTGTAATTAGTTCGTACTTGGACTATTTCATTTTAGTTTGTATATATATATATATATATATATATATATATATATATATATATATATATATATATATATATATATATATATATATATATATATATATATATATATATATATATATATATATATATATATATATATATATATATATATATATATATATATATATATATATATATATATATATATATATATATATATATATATAATATATATATATATATATATATATATATATATATATATATATATATATATATATATATTTATATATATATATATATATATATATATATATATATATATATATATATAGTTTTGGAAGATCCAATGCAACTTTTAAAATAAATTAAAAAATGATGTTTTCTCTATTCAAAATTCAAAAATTATCTACGCATTTGCACATAAGACGTCAAACTTATACAAGCTGCCTAAAGATGAATACAATAAATTGATGACAAACGCTACTACAACTAATTATAAAAAACCAATCCAATAATAAAAGATCAGATTAATACAGAAGGAAAAATTAATTTGAAAAATCACGATGTTTTCAACAAAATCCATATAAACAGATCATCCAATTGTTTTATCACATTGAAAGATCATAAACCTAATTTTTTAAATAATCCTACGGTTCGTTTCATAAACCCAGAAAAGAAACAAAAAAGGAAGAATGAGTAAACATATTTTATCCGAAATAAACGACGAGCTAAATAATGTATGCATTGTACCAGTAGAGTAATTAAATGGTTCAAGAATATTAAAGACAAACACTTTTATAAATTCCTCATTTTTGATATTGTTTACTTTTATCCTTCTATAAACGAGAAACTTCTTATCGAATCTATTTGCTTTGCTGAACAGTATGTTGCCATTGATAACTTGTACAAGTCTTTGGTTCTTCACGCACGTAAATCCTTGTTATTTAACGATAACAAAGTTTGGATAAAAAAATCAGGCGATTAATTTGACGTCACCATGGGAGCGTTTGACGGTGCCGTGGTATGTGAGTTGGTTGGAATTTTCTTTTTTTTTTGACTTTGGGTTGTATAGAGATGATGAGTTGGCCGTTATTAAAAACGCCTGCGGTCCACAAATGGAAAAAGTTAAAAAACATTTAACTCAGATATTCAAAAGTAACAGTCTTAATATTTCTATTCAATGCAACATAAAAGTAGTGAATTATCTCGATATTACATTAAATCTTAATGACTGCAGCTTCAAACCTTACCATAAACCTGACAGTTTGTTAAATTATATCTATGCCAGCTCTATCCACCCACAAAGTATTTTAAAACAGCTGCTGACCTCTATTGAACAAAGATTATCATCAAACTCCTCCAGCAAAATAATTTTAGAAAACTCTTCTCCTATTTAAAAAAAAGCCCTTATAAATTCTGGAAATAGCAGCAATATCCAATATCGTTATAATTTAAACTTACAAAAAACTAATCGTCATCCTAATAAACGCAAACGAAACATCATATGGTTTAACCCCCCTTTTAGTAAGAATGTTGTCACCAAATTAAGAAATCTTTTCTTGAAATTAATTGACCTACATTTCCCAGCACACCACAAGCTACACAAGGTTTTTAACAGAAACACCGTCAAAATAAATTACAGCTGCATGCCAAATATTAGTACTATTATTAAGTTCAACAACCAACACATTTTGCGCAACCAAAATACCGAAAAAGATAGAAAATGCAACTGTATAGAGAAGGGCTACGTGTCCTTTAGAAAATCAATGTATAACTAAAAATATTGTTTACAAAGCTACTATAGCACCAGCGAATGTCAACCACGCTAAGAAATCTTAGATTGGTATTAGCAAAAATTCCTTCAAGATCAGATTTGCAAACCACATAAAATTATTTAACTTGATCAGGTATAAAAATAATACTTAGGAAGCAGAAATTAAACCAATAATCAATTGGAGTATTATTAAAAAATGTCAACCCTATAACCCATCCTCAATAATCTTTGCATAACTGAGAAATATTTCATTTCAAGATACAATAAAGAACCTTTGTTAAATAAAAAATTGAATTGATTTCAGCATGTAGGCATAGAAAAAAGTTTTTGCTATCGAATTTCGATACCGGTTAAATAAATTCCTGTTTGGAGTGAAAACTTACGTTTGATCTCGTGGCAACGCAATTTTGTATTTTTTATAACTGTTCTTTAAACGTTTTGAGTTTGCTCCATGTCTGGAAGTTAGCAATATCAAACACCAAAAATGCTAGATCTGTCATTGCATTAATAACTCAAATTTTGATTAACAATTTCTAGAAAACTGATTTTGGGCAATATTTGGGTAAAAATAGGTTTAGCTATAAAATTAATCATTTTCGATTAACCTTTATTGAGGTTAAAGTCGTAATTTTTTTTTATTTAAATATTTAATATATATATATATATATATATATATATATATATATATATATATATATATATATATATATATATATATATATATATATATATATATATATATATATATATATATATATATATATATATATATATATATATATATATATATATATATATATATATATATATATATAATATACCCGACTTTAGTTTAATTATTACTCTTTTTATGTCATTGTCTTATACTTATTATATATATATATATATATTACTTTTTAGTTTTTAATTTTAACCTTTGATTCTATATAAATTCTTTTAATCACTGTAACTATGAAACAACGTCATTTATTGGTATCTCATTATTCCGGTTTAAAATTTGCGCGACACAACTTAATTGAGTCACTTTTAAATAGTCCATCAAAAGTTTAAAAGCGAAAAGGAATTTATAGGAGTTTCTAAATTTTAAATTCTTTTTATTTACAGGGTTATTCATTCTTATATGCGCATTTATTCATTTTTATATGCGCCTTTATTCATTCTTATATGCGCATTTATTCATTTTTATATGCGCCTTTATTCATTCTTATATGCGCATTTATTCATTCTTATATGCACATTTATTCATTTTTATATGCGCCTTTATTCATTCTTATATGCGTTTTACAAAAGCAATTGTAAAAAAGCAATTTGAACAAAAAAAAATCATTTAAGCAATTTGTTTTGAAAAAACAGTTTACTTTTTCAAAATAAATTTTTCTTATTTCTAGGTAAACGAGGTTAAAAATACTTAAAACGAAGACTTTTTACATTTGACGATGGTTTATTTAATTTAGTAGTAGTTCTTTGTTTTCGATGATAGTTTATTTAATTTAGTATTAGTTCTTTGTAATTTTATTATTAAATTGCTTGATTGATTAAGTTATTATTTATCTAATTATTCATTTATCTAGATTTAAATTTAATTATTTATAATTACTATTAATATCAATATTTAATAGCTGCAATACTTAATAGCTATACCATGTAATATAATACTTAATAGCTATACCATGAGAGGCTAGTGTTTGCCTAATAGAAAGACTCCAGTGGAATATACAATTGTCCATAACAAGCACCGGCGCCTCAACTTTTGCATTCTTAATCGCTGGTGCCATCATTGTAGTTTTGAAAGTACAAAATGAATCTGCATTCCAGCCTCCAGTTTTTATTTCATAAGCAAGCACTCCCGTTGTTGAAACAGCACAAATTAAACTAACATTCTTACCACGATTTGCAGGTGACTGTAAAATTGCTGGCTTACCTCTTAGCAAAGAACCATATGTGCTGTTAGTGTGCACATTAAATTCAGTTTTATCCAAAAAAATAAGTTTTTCACCTGAAGTTCCGTTTATTTTGCTTGCATTAATAACTGGTGTTGAGTTTCGTACTTCGGCACATGCACAACACAATTTCTTGATAAATCTGAACGTTTGAGTTTTCTTGAAAAAGTAGACTGAGACATGAAGCCTGCTGCAGAATGATATTTTTTTATTGCTTCTTGCGTGCAAAGATTGTTTTCTTGTACGCATAACTCTATAATATTTTTTATTTGAGAGTTTATAGGTCTTTTACCTCGTTTTTTATCAGAAAACGACTTGAATGCAGTCATGTCGTCGAATTATCCTCTGTTTAATTTAACGACAAAATTTTGAACTGCGCGTTTCAATAAATTAAGAGAAGTGGAAACGCTTGTTGTAGATTGATTTCTTTCAATTAAATGCTTAAGCATTTCAATGTGCTCTTTTGTAACATTTTTCCTTGTTTTACGATTGGTACTGCTATTTTCTATTCCATTCATAGGGATGTATAATTTGATATTAATAATAATTATAAATAATTAAATTTAAATCTAGATAAATGAATAATTAGATAAATAATAACTTTATCAATCAAGAAATTTAATAATAAAATTACAAAGAACTAATTTAAACTAAATTAAATAAACTATCATCGAAAACAAAGAACTAATACTAAATTATAATTACTCACGATGGGACGGAGATCTAGCAGGTCTATTATTGAAAAAGAAATATAGGTTAAATATTTGAGATGTCTATGAATAACAAGCAGAATAAAAACAATCGTTTAAGAAAAAACAAAAACGATACTATAAATATTTAAAAAATAGAAAAGAAAAAAT